CTATCAAATTAACCTAAATATTAACAAGTTTAAAAAGGGTTTTATCTTATTTTACAAGATCAGACGAACTTAGCTCAAATTCAATCAATAAGTAAAAGCACTCTTGTTTAGTTCGAATCCACTTCGTTCTTATGGCCAGCTAATAATTATGGATTATCCAGTTGGTTTTAATTATATTAGTAATTTAAGTCTAACTTTACCAATAATTAATTAATTCATGTAAAACTATGTATGGTCACACATAATTAAACACAGAACCAATTATGAATATGAATATGCTATGTAAGATTTATTATGTAAACGCAATTATAGTCACAATCTACGTTCTCTAGCACAGCTAAGTTTATTTACTTTAATTACTAACTAAGATTGGTCAATCCTAGCTCTAACAATTTAATGTTCACTAAATCATTAGGTAAACAAGTTCATGCAGTTAATGGTCACTAAGCTACACAGAACATGGAATCAAGCAACTAACGAAACAACCATAAGCATGCTAGGTAATTATAAACCAAACACAAGCAATTTACCAACTAAATAAATCCATATAAAATTAAGCTATTCATAAGTTAGAAGCTTCATCTAGCTAAACAAGAGTAGCTAGATTCAGCTGCTCATAATAGCAACTAACACAATAACACAAATCAAAGTATAAGGAAACATGTTCATAAGTATCAAATAAGTGAACTAAATTATAGACCTTCACTCTTTTGGTGTTAAAAACCTTTTTCCAAGACCTTTCTTCGGCTAAAAATCGACTCCTGGAACCTCTTTCTTCCGCCAAAAGTCCCCCCAAATCGTAAGGGAGAATGCTTTATATATATTATGGAAAGTCGCATTCCACGTCGTGGCAGGAAGCTCCACGTCGTGGATAAGGAGTTATCCGTATCGGGCAAGGCCTCCTTCTTCACGTAAACTTATCTTCTAGAATCTTCGTGCCACGTCGTGGTTTCAGTTGAATCCGTGAATTTCTTCATCTTTTGTACTCCAAGTCTTCAATGTTCCATATATTGTCACTTCTGGTCCCTTTCTTCGAAAATGCTTTATTTTTGCTGCAAATAACATTTTATCCTTATAAGTACCATAATTCTGTGCAAATAACCAAAATACTAAATAAAATATAGAACAATATTGCCTAAAACTATGTATAAATATGGCAATATCATGTATAAAGGGATGCCATAAACACACCGCAAAGTTATTTAGGTAGGCAATACTATTTTCTAGTTTCAAACACCATGACTCCTAGATCTTTGATATACATTGACTGTTAATAGCATGTTTAATCTCAGATTGTACTCATTTCATTTTTATGATAGGGATGTCGTGGATCATAGAATAAATGGTGAATCAACCATGCAAAAACCGTGTGATGCTCATATCAAATTACGCTTGAGATTCGCAAGTTTCACATCATTTTCAACTATAATCCTCAAATTGATGTGTCGGCTAACCTTACACACTCCATCAACAGATTATAAAGGTAATGTAGGGATGAAAGTGGGTCCAAACCCGGACCGGATGGACCCAGACCCGGAACCGGTTAACGGGATTTTGTAGAACCGGAAACCGGACTGGTATATAGGAACCGGTTCCGGTTCGGTTCTAGGTACGGTACCGGGTAAAGTGGGTCTAGAACTGGAAAATCCGGAAACATCAAAGTGGGTAGGTTGGAACCGGATAAAGTGGGTTTAGAACCGGAAAACCCAAAAAAACCGGAAGTTTTTGGTAATTACTTACTACTTAGTGGGTTGAACTTTGAAAATTCTTATATTGATATCCCGACTTTGGGGGACTGTAACTCATTGAATATGAAACCAAAATTGACAAAATTATAGTCTAAAATCATGAACAAACTCTAAACTACACTCTGGAAAAAACCGTATGTCAATCCGACTTTAAACGAATGAGATATGCATGTGTTAACATTTTCACAGAATACAAAGTACAAAAACAAATAGCTGAAAAGTTGAAAATTTTCAGTTTTGATATCTCGACTTCGGGGGACTGTAAATCATTGAATATTAAACCAAAAATAACAAAATTATAGTCTAAACTCATGTATAAACTATAAACTACAAGTTGGAAAAAACCACATGTCAATCCGATTTCAAACGAATTAGATATGCATGCTTTAAAACTTTCACTGAATACAAAAAAACTGAAAAACTAAAATCTTTTAGCTTTGATATCTCGATTTTGGGGGACTGTAAGTCAATGAATATAAAACTAAAAATGGCAAATTTATAGTCTAAAATCATGTACGAACTCTAAACTACACGTTGGAAAAAACTGCATGTCAATCGGAGTTGAAACGAATGAGATATGCATCTTTTAAACGTTTCACAAAAATCGGTTCCGGCCCTAAAAGTGGTTTCGGTTCCTAACACCGGTTCCAGTTTTTAGACCCAGTTTACCTGGACCCGATGGACCCAAACCCAGATTACCCAGAACCCGGATAAAGCTAATTTTTAAACCCGGAACCGGAACCGGTTCTATATATTCCGGTTCTAACGGTTCCGGTTCTGGTTCGGTTTTCCGGTTCTAAATCTCACCCCTAGGGTAATGTGCATTTTTCATGGGTAGCACACATCTCACATTTAATTATATAAAACAATATTTTCTTTTAATACTTTAGTTAATATTTTTTTAACTTTAAACACTTATCCTATCAAACTCTTTCGGTTACTTCACTCTCAAAATGCAAAGAGGCAGTGATGGTGGTAAACTATTGAGCTTTTAAAAATCGACATCATTAGAAATCAGAAAGACCTCCTTAAACCTGTCTTATAGCATAAGAGCGGTAACCTTAGTCCTTGTTTGACTGATAATGTTTTAACTAAACATGTGAGGGTACATGTTGTAATTATGTCATACATGTAGTAATCATATTATATAATAAATTTAAATCTTTTAAATTTATGGGTTATTAAATCCTCAAATTTAATTCTCTAATTAAATAACATTTAAAAAATAAAACTAAATATTCAAATTTAAATATAAGTTAAATAATATTTAAAATTTTAAATTAAATATTCAAATTAAAATTTTTTTAAATCTTATTTAAATTAATGGATTTATCAGTTTAGATTTATCATAAATATTCAAATTTAATTATCTATTTAAATAATATTTAATATTCGAATTTAAATATTTAGTTTAAGTAATAATATTTAGATATTACTTTAAATTAATAGTTTATCCACATCCGAAGAATCCAGCTGAAATCCGGCAGGGTGCTCCGCATCTTACAAAAATTTTATTTTATTTTTCGGACTTAATTAATAGTGCTTATAATTAAATCATATTGACTCCGATATCACTGATGAGTTTTATGACATTCTATACACACTAGGTAGTGCACACTACAAGAAAAGTGCTTATTAGTTACCATTTTTTTAGCGACGACGTAAAATTTGGTCACTAAATGCACAGTTGAGTGACCATATATTAAGTCGTCACTGAATTTTTGCTACAAATTTAGTGACGAGTACAATTATAGTCGTCACTCACCGGTCACTAAATTATAAAATTGAATTAAAATATTTTTTTAATATTATAACAAATATTAGTGTCTAAAAGTAATGGTCACTCATTTACAAACTCATTTACAAACGTAATGATTAATGGTCACTGCATTGTAACATTAATGACCAAATATTGTGGTCACTAGAAAACAAAAAATATTATATTTTATTTAAAATAATTACGTTTTGAGAGTTAAATTTGGTTGAATATTATTTTATTAGAAATGTAGCAATTTTTAACCGTTGGGTCTTTTTTATCAATAAATTCAAAGATGAGGGTGTTTTATATAACTTTTCGAAAGTTAACTTTGCGTTTCCCCTAAATCCAGAATCTACGCTAGCGTTTGATTCTTTTACTAGGACTAGGATTACGTGTAGACATTTGATCGTCGATTTGAACCAATCTTCCAACTTCATCGCAAATTTCCCTCTCGGTCGGGCCCGAATCAAGTCGGCATCGTAAAACGAACTGCAATTGGCTTCATCATTTTCAGTATTTCTCTCAGTCGGTCACGAAGAACCACTATTGGCGATCTTACTCTCGCAATCGTTGTCCATCGATAAGTTTTGGTGCCCTCCACCATCGGCAAGTCGATCGCTGCCTGAATCCATTGTGAGGAAGACCTCTGTCGGCCTCCACCGTCAAGCCGACGACCGCGATTTCAGGTAAGCTCTGTTTCCGTTTCTGATTTTATTGTAATACAATACTACTTTGTGTTATATTGATTTCCAAGCAATTATCACTGAATAAATCTATGTATGTATAATACTATTCTAAATGTGTTTGAGTTCAAGTCTAACTGCCTAAATATGTGTGTCTGATTTCAATTGTTGTTGGATGGATTCACTTTACTGGAAATTAGGCTCATGTGTTTCAAGAGGTCGGTCAATCTACCCTAAACTCTTTGATTTGCTAGCATAAGTTTATTCAGGTTCTTTCTCTCTCTACTCGCACAAAGTTTAGCATTTTATATGGTTATTTAAACAAATCATGTGTTTACTTGAACATCCAAAATGAAAAATTATTTATATTTAACAACAGATAAAACTGAGGTGTATCTGTTCATCTGTTGTTATTTAAACAAATCGTATGTCAAAGAAAGATACTCTCAAAGCACGTGAACAGTCTGCAAAGTTAGTTTGTTTTCATTCCCTATTTTTTTAATAACATTGATATTTTGCTATAACTTGTTGGAGTTAATGTATTTTTTTTTGTATAGAACTACAACAAAAGTAAGTGAAATGTTGGGGAATGTGAATACAAACAGTGCCCTTTCAGCATTTGAGAAGATGGATGAAAAAAGTTCTCTTTCTTTCTATGTTCTATCTTAAAACAAAACAAAAGACGTGAATGCCTTTCTAACTTTTTTTTTGATGTCCTGTTAGTTATGACCATGGAGTCTCAAGCAGAAGCCCTTAATCAGCTAACAACTGATGATCTTGAAGGAAAATGCAAGAAATTATAAAAAAGAAATGGGAGATGACTTTGTTTCTGTTGAACATCTTGTTTTGGCATTCCCTTTGGATAAGAGGTTTGGAAAGCAATTGTTCAGCAACTTGCAGTTAAGTGAGAAGTCATTAAAGGATGTTGTGCAAGTTGTTCGTGGAAGTCAGAAAGTAACTGATCAAAGTAAAAACATTTACCTTCTTAGTTTCACTTTCACTGGTTAATTCTTATTTCCTTCCTCAAACTTGTTATTTTGTAATGTCTGTTGTTTTTATACTGATCAAAGTCAAAATGCAGAATGATGAGGTTATATGGCAAGTTCTCAGGCATAAACACTGCAGTTATATGGCCAAGTAAGTCTTGGGCAATTTTGTCATTAATGTGTTGAAACGTTACCTAAACGTTAAAACTGTTTCATCCCACTTTTTATTTTATTTTTATTATTTATTTTATCAGAATTACTGCTGGAATTTTTTGCCGAAATGAGTACAATTTAACTGGAATTTGTAACTGAAGCTCATGTCCACTAGCCAATAGTCGTTATGCAACCATCCGTGATCATGATGGTATTTTTCTAAACCCTAAACCCTAGGGGTAAAATTGTCATTTTTGTAGTAAAATTATCAAGTTATATACTTTATGCATAACTTTCTATTTTGCAGGAGTCTTTTACTTGTATATGAAAACCATAGAGAGAGCTCATATGCCAAACAAGCTATGGGAAAGAGTGAAACTGCCTCGCAATTACGAAAAAGCCCTTGAAATCATCGATAAAAATCTGGTACAAAACTTTATTTATATCCTTTTGAGTTTCTTTAAATGAAATTAAAAATTAAAATCGAGTTAAATCAACAGATGTATTGGCCAAAGTTTCTTGTACACAAGGCAAAACAACGGTTGACTAAAATGACACAAATGCGTATACGCATGAGGAAGCTTGCCCTTAAAACAAGGCTTTTTTTTTTCTTTTTAAAAAAAGTATCTTATTTGTTCTATTTCCATAATTATAATTAACCAAAATATATAAACTTTTATAGGGAAAAGATAATGACAACTCCAAGAAAGAAAAAGAAGAGAGAAGCTAGAAGAGAGGAAAAGGCTGAAAAGGCAGCAGTATTGGACAAGGTTTAATTTTTTATTTTTAAAAACTTATAAAATATTTCAGCTTTATTTTTTTTTAATAAAATGTTTTCATAATTTTAATAATTAATATTTCTATTGTCCAGAATATCGAAAAGGAATTGTTGGAGCGTTTAAAAAATGGAACTTATGGTAGTGAGATAGTTAATGCTCATGCTGAAGCATTTAATAAGTTTATTGAACAATTTGAGGGACCAGAAATGGATGTTAATGAAGAGTATGAGGTTTGTTAGTAGAATTTATTTTTCCCAAACTACCCTTTTGTTTTTTTCTTTTATTATTTTGTATAAATGTAAATATTTTCTGGAAAACAGGTGGAAACGGAATTTATTGAAGGCGAGTATGAAGAGGAAGATGATATGGAGGATTACAATGGTCTTCCAACCGGTTCCGATGGTAAGTCGAGGGCGATTTTGTAATTTTCTTGACTTATTTTATTAATTATTAATTATTAATTAAACTATAAATGGATTAGTGGATGATGAAGATGAAGATGATGATGATGATGATGATGATGATGATGCTGAGGTGGCAGTAGATAGAAAGAGAGGAAGGAAAGATTCCAAATATGCTTTGAAGAAACAGGAGAGAGATGCTAAGAAGAAGAAGGGAAGAGTACTTGTTGAGGTAAAACTGTTGAACAACAAATTACAATGTTTATTTTTTCACCTGAAAAATATGGGAATGATTTGACCCTGAAGGGAAATATGAGGCACCTGAAAAATATGTGAATGATTTGACCCTGAAAGAAAATTGTTATTATGTAATGGTTCGACCGGTTTTCACCGGTTCACATGAACACCGGTTTTTTGGCCTTTAAGAACCGTATCAGGGACCGGTTCCCAGTCGAACCGGCCGGTCCGGTCCGGTTTTCAAAACATGGGTCATATGTGAATGTGATGTAAGAAGCTCATATCTGATTTAAGCTCTTATACATTTACATTTCTGCAATCAACTGTCATATTAATTGACGATTTGTTCAACAGGTTGCTGCAAAAGTTGCAAAAGGGGAACTAAACTCTGCATTTGCCATTGTTAGACCTCCAGGACACCATAGTAAGAGTGATCAATATTCAATGCAATGATACATACAGTTTGTCAAATCAACCATTGACTACTATCTTAGGAATTATCTAAATTAATTCTTCTTATGTATATTGCAGGAATTAGGTATTAACAAGATACTAATTGTTGATTGGGATGTTTATCATGGAAATGGTACTCAAAAGACTTTCTATAAAGACTCCCAAGTGTTGTTCTTCTCTATACACAGGTAAATGATTAGTTTCCAATATTAATAATAATCTCTTATTAAAATTTTTTTGGTTTAAAACTATAAATAATGCAGGGATGAGTATGGGACTTTTTATCCCTGTGGTGATGATGGATCATATGACATGAAGGGTGATGGAGAAGGTGAAGGATACAATATAAATGTTCCATGGGAGAATGGAATATGTGGTGATGCAGATTATATTGCAGCATGGGACCATATACTGATCCCTGTTGCAAGAGAATTTAAACGTGTTCAAGTAAGATTTTTTATCTTGTAGTATGGTTCGAACATTCCATTTTTTATAAATATCATTGTTGACTGATTTTTTTTTTTTTTTTTTTGTAATTATTAATGGTCTTGATTTGGCTCTTTTTGTAAATTTCAGTCAAATATTGGTGCCAAAAAACATGCAATTGTGATGGACACATGCAACAGATATCTCTAGAAGAGAACCAATGGTTCGCATTACAGGTATCAGCATCAAAAACACTAAATTTTTAGCTTTTTTATATTGATTAATCAATTGTGAGTTTTATTTGTCTTTTAAGTTCTATATTAAGTCAAAACTTTCTTGATAAGGAATGAAGTATGTAATGGGGTTAGTTCTAATTATGAATATGAAATTCAGTATGGAGTAACAGATAGTGGCTTTTCTGGAGTAAGAGCTCTAACCAAGCTTTGACTGCTGTACGTTTGTAAGTTTCTTTGATTGATGGATTTTTGTCAAGTAAAAAAAGTAAATCGTGTTAACTGAAATCACATACATGTATTGCAGATTAAGATAACATCTTTGTTTGGGCATCATTTGAAAGAGTAATAGATTAATGTATTGCAATACTATTTCACCTACGTTGCTGAGAGGATCAAGAGAATGTAAAGGCATTTATTGTAAAAAAAACTGGGAAGAGTTGAATCTTTTCTTTATTTGGTTTTTTTGTGTAATTTGCTGAAAAGTTGTATGTCTGCATGATAATTTAAGACTGTACCAAATGGAAAATAATTTTCCCCAAGCTTTTAGTTTTTAGCTATTGTGGGTTTGTTTAAATTTGAGAATAATTTTTGTTTATCAATGAATAATAGTATATTTTACCATTGACTAGTTACTTAAGTGGGTCAAATGCAAAAAACAACAACAAAAATCAGTGACGACTTTTTATGGTCACTAATTGGATAAACCATTGACGACTTTGTATAGTCACTAACTGAATAACACTGGTCACTAATTGGATAAACCAATGACGACTATGTATGGTCACTAATTGATTAGCATAGTGACAACTTTTTATGGTCACTAGTGGGACAAAATAGTGACGACTTCCGTTGATTAGTGACAACATTTAGTGACGAAACGGGTCGTCATTGATTTAGTGACAAAGATGTTTTAGTCACTATTTAGTGACTACTTATATGTTTTGGTCACTAAATCGGTTTTGTGACGGACCTATAGTGACGAAAAGTGACGACCCTTTCTATTGTTAGTGACCATTTCATTTTGGTCACTAATTAGCATTTTTTTTGTAGTGTGCAACGAAACTATAAAATGAACATTATGTGTACGTGCACCCAAATGATCTAGGTTTTTACTATTATAGCAACCTACTTTAAAGCTTGTAAACTTACTAACCTCTTGATCTTGATCTTCTTGGTTCCTTGCTCGAAATCTAGTAACAACCACATTGGTTTGGATGATCAACACCCAAACCAGGAATCCTTCTAATGGAATCACATCCAAGACACCAACTAGCAAATAGGAACTTTAGGAGAGAGGAGGCTTTTTGCGAAAATCACAATAACCCTGAATGGTTATTATTTTTGTCAAAAAGGAGAGAGAGGGAGGCTTGGACTAAATCTTTAGGAGGTAAGGAGTGTCAAGGTTTGATCCCAATCATTCTATTTATAGTCTTCAGTTTAATTTAAATTTTCAAGGATATCCTTATCCTTAATTCAATTCAGCCTTATCCTTATTCCATAAGGATAAAATCGTCCATACCCTACTAGTGAGTTAGTTAATATTTAACCCATTTAATTAATCCAATATAATTTTCAATTAATTATTAATTCATAATAAATTAACAACTTATTTTCTCATAATTTATTATTGCTTAATTAGGTTATGAGGGCAACCCCAAAGGACCATGACATTATTATAAATTAGTTAATGAACTTAGACACTCAATCCCAAAGGTTTAAAGGTTGCTTAGGGTTTGTTACTTATGAAGGTTGGTTGAAGATGAAGATGAACAAAAGTACAAATTAGAAGAAATTGATGAAGATAAGGTGACATGAAAAGAAGAAGAAATTGGTGTAGAAGAGGAGTGTGAATGAATTATCTCTAGGGTTAATTAAATTTATTTTATTTTATTTTTTGAATTTCAAAAAAAAAACATTTGTAATTATCTAGGTGGAAACTGGAAAGTGACGTGGTCTCTATGTCTCCACGTCATGGTGCAAACTAAGCGGTGTTGAAAACCGGTAGGTTTTTTTTGATCGAACACTTATTTAACAGGTAAGATTCAACTTTAATGATCTATTGTGAAGAAAAAAAAAACACGATGACCAAATCAAAAAAATCACAGAACTTAATTGTGTTAAAGTGTCAATTTTCCAAAAAAAAAAGCACGTGGAAAAACAACAAAAGAAAATGACAAAATAAAATAGGTAAAGGGAGGGGCCTTTGGAATTACTTTGATGTTTAAGTTTGTTTATTTAGTAGTTTTTTTTACAGAGATCAAAGAGACAATACAGAAAAGAAAGGAAAATTAGCTATACGGATGATTAGGATATAGGAGTTGTCACGTGTTGATATTTGGTTTTTATTGTTTATGAATGGTTTTGTTTAACATTAGCATTTTGGGTGTACGTTTGGCTCTAAAATTTTTACTATCATCATTTGGTCATAACAGGTTTTAATTGGTCCCGATTTACCAAGCCGAAACATGTACAATACCATATACTTCAGTTCTCTTCAGTCTTAAAAATGGACCTCGAAAAATTTTGTTGCCTTTCAGTTCGGTCCTGATTCGGTATCTGTCCGGAATAAACCCCTAATTGACTAATTCCACGTGATAATAAAGGGAGATAGCGTGAAAGGCAAGGGCAAAGATCTAGGTGGTAGATAACGCAAATTTATCGGAGAGATTTCAGATACATGTTTTGCATATGCTTCTTTTGAAGAATAACACATTTTTAACGCACTAATGGTGCATTATATTGTTGTTTTTATATAGAGTCACATCCGAAATAAACTATATATAGATATCAAAGTCAATTTTAGTTGGTTTTTATATGTTTTCTATTAAGTTACGAAAACTTTTAATAAATTGATAATAATATATCATTTTTATACTTTTTATTTTTTTATGAATATTAGGTGTTACAGATGACACCCTTCACGATATATTTACGTACTATTGCTAATGTTCTTGAGGGTTACTTTCGTTATTTGATTTATTAATCAATATTTTTATTATATTATGTATTAAATAGAATGCCAGTTTCCTTCATGTTTTAAGTTGATATTACATTTTTTGTTGTGTGTCGTTTACTGTTATTATAATATCAACTTTGAATTTATCTCATAAATTTTATAAATTTATCTTTAAAAAAAATATGCTAAATATTTACCAAATAATCAATTATTTTTATGGATTTATATGCCAAACTGAACATTATAATTTTACAAAATAATTGAGGATCTATTCATATATCTTTTCATCAATAATCTTTAAATCCTTATATGAGTAAATTTTAATAATTTAGATAACATCTAATTCATGCACACTGATATATATTAATCATTCAAACCTTTTAACTATAAACTACTTATTTATTTATATTATCAATATCATCCAGGTTAATGAATTTAAAGTCATTCATTCACATAGTTGGCGGAAATAAGAATAAGAAATATATAAAATATGAGGTTTAGTTCAACAACACCCCATAATTCTAATGGTTCTGACGTGACATTTTATTCCTACCAATTGTTAAACTTATCTCCTGTGCATGGGGTGGTCGAGGGTGTCTGAAGTGGACGTCAGTACGGGGTCCATGTTGAGGAATGGTTCAAATTCATATTTGATTAAGTCGACTCTTTAGCAATATAATTTCATACTCCAAAGACAAAAGCCCCGAGTGTTTTTGTTTCAATTTCAAGTTCAAGTCATAATTAAAAATTACAAAAATTACAACAATATACGATTTAAAAATTAGGTTGAAAATTAAAAATTGCATTTGGACTAATAATTAATGAGCTAATGTAGACTTGCGGCAAGCAAGAGCTCACGTTTTGTACAAATTCTAAATTCAATTTGCGGCAACCGCAAAGCTCAAGCGACATTTTTTGTTTATTGGTTTTCTGACTCTGCTAGACTTCACATCTCGTTTTGATTGCACTACCGCTTTTGTTTTGATTGTCAAATGTAAATAACCAAGTATTTCAATATTCCTAATTTATTTTTTATGACAGCTTGTTTTTATATTCTAATTAATGTTGCTGATTAACGAACGAACACGCTTCTGAATGACTGAATTTCTTACTTCACATACACAATTTAATTTGTGTTTGAGTGATTTAACTAATTTCCTAATAGCTAGTTCTCTTTAGTTTCTGTAATTTAGATTATATTTTGTTGTGTCTTCTTAGTTGATCAGAACACTGTTTATAACATCATATTGTCGTTAATATTATATCGTATATAATCTTTGGTAATTATGCTCATACGCATCTATATGGTAGTGAAAAACGTAAAAAAAAATGAGATGAAGAATTAAGAAAGTCCAAAAGATGAGACTCTTGATAAGCTTATCCATAAAAATATCAAGTTTTATCTCAAAATCAAAACATTGACAATGATAGCTAGAGATGAACATAAGCGGGTACACACCTATTTTAGCTCGAACCAGAACCACTCCCGGAATCAGCAGTTATGAAATTATTGGTATTGGAACCGTAACCGCTTAAACTGGTTCCTAGAAATTTGGAACCGCTCCCTGAACTGTCAAGACCGGTTCTGGGTACCCGGTTTCTTGAATATAATTTTTTTTTTTATTTTATACATATTGAAATTAACTTTTATAAGCAATAGGAGTTTAAGACATAAAACTAAAACAATGAAAAAAAACTTGATTTCAAAACAACAAAACAGCAACAAGTGGAATTTAACAAGTAAATATGACAATTTGACAAGGTACAAACTACAAATCATTTCAATTGCCAACAATAACAAAAGTCAGCAATAAATTACAAAACAACAAAACATAAGCATCCTCATAACAACAAAACAACAACAACAACAACATCACAAAACAACAACAAGAACAATCTGCAATAGCAAAAACAACAACCAACAATAGCAAAACCATCAACAACTTCCCTTGTAAGAGACTTCCATATTGCGATTGATTTATGTAATGAAATTAAGCATAAAAAGTCAAATTAGAATA